CGACACCTAGAACCCCCAACATGTGATATTAACCCTCTGCATCCCCAACAGCAAGGCATCCTGGGATATAGTACTGCTGCACCCGAGACCTTTTCTAAAGCGTGCATACTCCCTCATAATGAAAAACAAAATGACAAAATGCTGCTACAAGCCAGGTATTTCATATGACAAGACTGCAATTTAGGAGTCTACTAAAAAATTATAGCATGGCAAGTCATTGTGAAATACATGCTCCCTTGCTGGGATCAACTGACCTTTGGTCTCATGACTACTATCCGCTCAGAGACAGTGTTGTACACTACCCATCTCACTGTAAATCCAGCCTTGTCATATGTTATTCCTTTTTTACTATAATAAACACTTGCAGTTATTCTTATCATCAGTAAAAAAAAAGATGTACAGCTTATTGTGCAGTTTTTTAAAAAATTCCAGAGATTACTGTAGTGTAATACCAGAGAATGAAAGAGATTTAAGCGTCATTCTCCTAAGCTTTCAACACTGCCTGGCAACAAATACAATGGGGGAAACTGTGTTTTCATAAGTAATTCTTCCATATGAACAGGGTGCCACTACCTCAGCTATATGTAATGGGCCACAAAAATTGGTTTAAATCCATGAAGTCAGTAAAGCTGTGTTTAATTACATCAGCTGAATAGCTGGTCCACTTCTTTTGACTATTATAAAGGTAGGACAAACAATCAAATTGGGAACCAATCTTCAGCTGCTGTAAATTGGTTCCACTATACCGAAGTCCCCCTAAGAAATGCTAGTTGGCACCCAGTAAAAATCTAGTCCATGGATTGTGCTAAATATATAAAATAGAACAAAAATCAAAAAGAAAAAGTGAAAAATTGGTATTGGTCAATGAAAAAGCTTTGCAATGTCAAAAGATGACTTAAATTATTGGGCTCAGTTGTTAACACACTGAAGCTCCTGGCAGGAGGGAAAGGCTGCTTCTGAGATTTAGTAAACCCTCCAGCTGTGGAGGTTTGCTAAGCGATCACCTCCAGAAACTTTGGCTGTTAGTTACTTTTTGACACACTGAAGAGCCAAAAGTACTTTTGTTTTTTATTTCTTCTTTTTTATCTGGTTATCCCAGATGCATGGTTAACAGTGCTTTTGGCCAATTAAATACACTGTTCTAAAGTGCTTAGGAAAAAAAGAACAAAAGAGGAAAAGCCCATGTTCCATATACCGATTTTACAATCAATGAGATCAGATATTTTCTACTTATTAATACAGAAGGGCCAGATGCACAGAGACATAAAACCAATCATATCTAGCTACAAAAAAAAAATCTTCACTGGGATGGTGGAAGGCAGATGAGAGGAATCTGTTTCATTGACTTCATATTATGATAATTCTTCACTCTTAAATCCTGAAACAACAATCCCATACAACCTAATCATATGACTTGACTCGCTGGCTTATCATCCTCAACAATAGCAATACTGTATTTACTCAAATACAAGAATACAATACAATACTAAATCAGCACAAGAAAAAAGGTCCTTGTCTTACACATGCATACAAGGAAACCACATTTAAAACACCGGTCATGTCTACATTAAATGCTGACTGCACAGTTGGTACTGCACAGTCATTTAGGACTTTTACACAAGTACTAAATGACTGTGCAGTAACTGGCATTACTGCGCAGTAGCATCCCTGAACAGCTTTCTGGTGATGCTGACTGTACAGAATTTCGTGCCATGAAATGCTACTGCACAGTAGTATTGAGCTACTGCACAGTCAGCATTCTATGTAGACACAGCCACCGTCTACTTTTGAACTGCTGCTAAAAGCAGCATGTCTTCAGTAATAAAAACTAACTATAATGGTGATTAAACAACACTGAGCATGACTATAAAACACATAGCCCATATTGTTACATCAGGCCTAGAGGTACTGCAATACCATGCCAGTACCAGGAGGGCCACAGAAAACCCTGACACCCCACGCTTTTGGTGCCAAAAATGTTATATTTGGTCTTATCCAAAAAGGAGAAGATGCTGATGGGAACCTACTTTTTCTTTTTTGTGTGTGTGTGAGAATTTTTTTCATGTTTCAAGCCAAATTAGCCAAATCAATTCCAGATCCATGAGTCAGTCAAAAACCATAAGTGGCCCTACCACCAGCAAACATCCTCCAACCCCACTTGGGGCTTCAGATGTTTCTAAATCATTTGGCAGGCATCCTATATGCAGGCCCAAGCCCAGAGGCTTAGGGTTCAGATGGCCCTGAGTTTTGCTTGCCCTCAGACATAAGGTCTCAGGAACAAGCTAGGCAGAAGTCTCTTATTTCCATAAAGTGGACTGTGCCCACCTGGCTTTGAACACCTGTTCACATGTTGCCTTGGCTCGGGCGGCCAGCGGTGTACGTGCTGAAGCTTCGTGTGACTACTGAGGTGGACCTCGATCACCTCAGATGCTACTCCTGAACTCTCCTGCCATAACTTGGAATGTAATACCAGTGGAGGGAGTGACCTCTGAAGATCCCTCAGGGGTGATCACTTTGCTTGATGGATGTTCGTGGGGCTCCACCTCCCCATACACTCCAAACTTATGCAAACATCCAGTGAGACACCATGTCTTGGAATGGCTGTCTCTCTGGTGTGGATGTTTCTTGATCCCGATGCCCTCTTCTGGCTTTATTTCCCAAACTTTTATTTTCTGTACTAGGCCACCAGTCTACTGGGCATGCCTGTTGTTTCTCTCCTTCCTGCCTCCTGTGACCAGCCAGTAGCACTGGGTCTGCCCAATGATGTATTGGCAATTAGGCCCCTTTTGTGGTGGACCTGTACAACAAGACCCTTCCAGGACAAGAGAAGAGGGAAACCAAAAGGAAAAAAAACACAATAACCCTGTTCCACTAATATGCTCACTCCTAGTGCTCACAGCATCCCCAAGATCACTAGCTTCAGGGACAAGAAAGAACCTGAATGCTCCAGACCATAAAAAAAAGAAAAAAAGAAGGCAAAGAAGAAAAAAAGAAGTAAAGCTAAAGGCGGACTATCGGGATGGTCCTACGGTCCCACTGCTAGGGCTTGATGGTGTCCCCTGGACGCCACGCCTCTGAAGTCTCCCTTTCATTGCTTCTGCCAGCCCACCTCCACAACCCAATACCTGAGTATCTGGGGAAGTGAAATTCTACCTTCTCCAAGTCTGCTATGGCCCCTTCTACAGTGCCGTCGTAGTCCTCACGCCACCAGGTGGGGTGCCCTATGCTGTGCTCCCCTGTCACTGCTCAGGGTGCTCTGCCCCAAGCGCACTCCATCTCCCTGTGCTGGGGCTGTTCATTGCCAGGGCAGGGAGTTCCCACTGCTACTCCCTGCCCGGATTGCCCTTCTTCAAGCCGGCACTGCCTGAGGCTGGCATGGAGAGCCTCCGCTGCCTGTGCCACTCTCCCTGCTTCTCTCTCGATGTTCCCTTTGATCTTCACTGGCTGGTGATTACCTGTGACATCACCTGCTGACTCCAGTTAGATAAAGGTGCAGGTTGAGAACTGCCCGGGCTATGTTCTTTGTTTCCTCGGTGACGGTCACCCTGTTGCAGGTAAGTGATTTTGTTCAGGGTTTTCTTTATTTCTGTATATGTTCCCCATCCTGAGGTGCCCTGAGAGTGTGGTTCCAGGTTCCCCCAAGCTAGTGCCCCTGGGATATGGACATAAAGCCAAGATCTTCCCACTTCAGCAGTAAGTGGGAGATTAACTATACGTTACCTCTGAGGGTACTACCCCATGCCAGAAAAACGGTTATCTCAGCAACTAGGAAAAACACCTTTTTTTTTGCAAAAATATTTATTTATATATTAGTGAGGAAATACTGGCACAGGACGATGCCGGCGTGGAGAAACCAATTACACTGGGAGAGCGGCATTTTAACAGCAGCTGCTCCCTGCTTATAAAGAAGCCGTGGGAGAGCGCTGCATGGCAGGAATGAGCGGGGGAGTCTCCTCAACGCGGGAAAATGAGAAGAAGACCACGGGGACAGGGTGAGCTGGGACGTCGGTCCAGAGAGAGAGAGAGTGCTGGACGAGGAAAAGCAGCGAGTGTATCCCAAGCAAGGAAAGGATCACCCAGGAGAGGAAGTGGAGAAGCTGCAAGAAGTGGAGACAGGAGCGGATCCCCTGGAAAAAAAAATAACAAGACAGTGAGAGAAGAGAGAGAGGGGTACAACGAAAATGTAAGGAAACCTTAACTTTGATTTTTGGATTCTTAGTTGTTGGCTATCCATAGTGAGGGTTTGTGGACACAACAAAACAATTTGTTTTTTCTTTCACTTACCTGAAAGTTAAAGGTGGAGATTTCAAGGCAATCCCTGTTTTGGCTTTGAAAAGTAGATGGACCAATCAGGGCATCAATGAAGATAAGAACACTTCAAAGCATTTCTAAAAAACAAAAAGGGGCGGGGTTTTTATTCGTCAAGAGTGTAACAACACTCAAAGGACAATAAAAGGAGTTGTATGGGACTAAAATCAGGGACTTGTATGGGACTATATTTCCCCCTATTCTGTCCCAGAAACGCCAGCTCTTACTAGGCTCCCAGCAGAGCTGTTTCCTGATGCCTGTGTTTTTCCGCACTCACCAGCGCAATGTGATTCTCAGTAACAACATCTGTCTGGTGCCTGACCTGTCATTTCCCCTGAAGTCCAGAGCTCACAACATCCTTCTAGATCACAGGTCAGACTCCTTTGCCTCTCTTATCTCTCTGGGGTCTCGGTTACCCCCATGTTCATCCTTTTGTGCCGAAAGGCAATCAGTAAGTGTCCCTCTGCCAGCTTTATCCCTGGTTTTCGCAGGCTAATCACCCAATCTTCTTTCAGGTGTGAAATCCCCTCCACCTGGCATGGTGCATTCAGAGGTTACTTCTCCCTGAGCTTGCCTAAGTAACAGGGCTCCTGCCTGACTCCCTGCTACAATATATATAACTCCACCTCCAACACTGCCAAGTGGCCCTCGTGAATCAATTAGCAGCTCAAACCATACTAAAAACCCCTTACACAGTTCACACTGTGCACCTGTCCTACGTTAGTGAACATGGTATTTCCCCTATAAGATATATGGCCGTACTCATTAAGCACAGCTCACCCTCAGCACCTACTCTTCTTAAGTCACAGTGAGCCACTACTCTGCATACATTTCGACTTCCTCTTCACTCCCATAGCTCAGCTGCAACTTTCTTTCCCATTTCCAATGAGTCCTGTTTCTTCACCAGCCTTAAATGTCCGGTAAACATCACCAAACAGGGCCCCAAAAAATTCACCCAGAATCCCTCTTTTAGTCCCTCTCTCAGCCTGCCACACATGATTAGTGTGGCTCCACCTTCCATGAGGTGAAGCCAGACCAGGTTGCCCTGCGCCTCATCTGCATACCAAATTTTGGAGAATCCCAGGACTCCTCACAAAAACAGCTGGTTCATGAATGGAGGTTAATTAACACATGGATCCTTTGTGGGGAGTATTTGGAGTAAAGACACATACTGATTAGTGCTGATCTATGAGGTTGTCTTGGAAATTTGCTCTGTGAGTGCTGCCAGTGCAGAGGCTATCTTGTAAGTGCCATAGTAACAGGCCCTGCACGTGGCCTTTGCATGACCTATGGGCCTGTCACTCAAGGGTGACCTAGTTTCCCTGTCAGACGCATGCCCAGTGTGAGAGAGGATAACAGTGCGCATGCCCAATTATGTTATATAATCAGACTAGAAAGTTCTGTGGAGTATACATTCTGATTGGCTACCAAATTCTGATAAAAG